GTTACCACTTGAACGTCCATTGAATTTGCATCTATCTTATTTGCAGCTTCTAGCACTGATATAATAATAATAATAATAATAGTAATAATACGATTTATCATTTTTTTTTATTTCAACTTACAAAGCTCATCATCGCTGTCTCTAGTATTAGAAAATTTTGTATCAGTATTTTTTCTCTCGCTTTCCTTAACCGAATTACCTTTATCTACTGAATTACATTTTAATAATTAAAATATTTGAGTTAATATAAAATAAACGCGAATAATATTATTATGTATGCTCACCGTAAAAATTTTTCCAGGTGCTGGCACCGTAATTAACCACATTTTTCACAGAGACCGATTTTATTTCATTTTCTATATTTACAGAACGCATTTTCAATACTTTATCAGTTCCTATTAAATACATTTTTAATAAAAAATAAATTTTTGAGATTTAAATATTACAATACTAACCTATTAACCCGTGTGTATGCTGAACATGTCTTGAGAAATTATCTTTTCTCGAAAATTTTTTCGAACACAAACTGCAGCCATATAAAATTTTGTTGTGTACTGTTTGCTCATGACGTATCAATGATTTCAAAAAATTGAACTTCATTCCACAAGTATCACACAAATAACACATAATGATGATTATGATATTGAAATAGAGAAGACTCTAAGGTGTCGATTAAACAAATGAAATACTATTAAACCAGAAAGGAGAGTTTTTCTCGGTTTTATGTACTTCATTTTGTAAACCTCAGCACATTTTATGCCAACGTGCAGCAGTCCTCAGGATGGAGATGATTTTCTAAGAAATTTTTATTTAATAGACGTTTTCACACGCTTAATACAACTTTTATAACACCTTTATATATACTATTTTTCATCAAGTTATTTTACTGATGTCGTATTATAGACGTATACATTGCTCTTTTTTACTGTTCNATCAAGTTATTTTACTGATGTCGTATTATAGACGTATACATTACTCTTTTTTACTCTTATCTGTACTTTGTAGACATTAAGTTTGCAAATTATTATTTCAAGTAATTACTTTCACACTCATTTTTCTTTTCATGTATATACTTTTAACAGTGGGATATTTTTTTTTAGTTTACACATTATAATTTAAAATACATGCGTTTTTTTATTTTACCCATAACTATTCTTAAAATTTTCATCAAAGATTAAATTATACNTTTTCATTAGAGATTAAATTATATGTAATACAATTTTTAATTATCAATATTTTTTATTTTCATTTTTTTCAAACACAAAATTAATTCATATAAACATTATGTCATAACTCGAACTTTGATCTTTTCGTCCATTAGATACAATCTTAAGATCTTTATCGACTCCTTTTGCCAGATCTTCTCGAGTAAATGAAAACCTCGCTGGCAAATAAATTTGAAATGATGGTTCGTCGTTAAGCTTCACCTCAGCCACTGGTGTTTCATTAGAATATTTTGATCTCATCACGTACAAACCCAAAACCTTGTACTGAACTCCTACTTTAAGATCAGATACATTCTTTCTGTGTTTAATTTTCATCCCATTTAACCAATCTTTATTAATAACGTTCATCTAAAGTATATTAATACATTTATAAAAAAATGTGTCACATTGACATTTTATAGAAATAAACATGAAAATACTTACTTTTTTATCAACTGACTTCGTAATATTATCGATAATGTTTTCTACAAATATTTGACCGTTCAACTGTCATAACTTCACTAACAATAATTTTTCAGTACACAGTTCCAATAGAAGTATAACAATATGCATATGATGTATGAATTTTTATACACCATATACATTTAAATATTAACTAATAAATATTGGTAGGAGGAGGAGGTGCTGCTTTCAGGCGTTTAAATGTAAAAAATGAGGAGGTAACACTCCTCAAATAACAGTAGTGTCGTACATTAAATCATAATAAATATAAGAGAGACGCTAAATAATATATATTATCTGTTATCAAAATAACCTCACTGATAAACACTTATCACACTATTCTATGAGTATAATAATGTAATAACGGAAATTATATAATCTGTTATCAAAATAGCTTCACTGATAAACACTTAACACACTATCCTATAACTATAACGCGTTTTTTTAATAAGTGGGAGGAGGAGGTTCCAATTTTTATGTGATAAGAGAGGAGGAGGAATTTTAGGAGGTGGCCCCACAAACACACATCAGACATTATTTATCAAATTTTATTAAATTTAATAAAATAAATACGATTTTTGTAAAAAAATTCATTTGAATATTTTTAACTCTATAATAAATCTATATAAATATATATCATTATATAATATTATAACTTTATGAAAAATGTATGGATGAATATAATTTTTTTTTATAGATGCATGATGTCTTTACCTTTCATTTGTA